GTCGGGACCCAGAAGGTGTCAGATGATCCGACTCGGCAGGCAGCAGCTGCCCTTCCACGCAGAGAGCAGCAGCAGCAGCTCCAGCTCCTCTGGACAGCTTGTGGACTGCACCCTCAAGGAGTTCTTGTGGCAGCACGTGGAGCTGGTGCTCAGCAAAAAGGGTTTTGATGACAGCGTGGGGAGGAACCCGCAGCCCTCTCACTTCGAGCTCCCGACCTACCAGAAGTGGGTTGCTGCAGCTTTAAAACTGTATGAAGTGACCATTGAAGGCAAAGATGATGACCCGACCTCCCTCACTGGGGAACTGAGCTCAAAAATCATGAGCAGCATCAAAGTCTTGGAAGGCTACTTAGATATAGACACCAAATTCTCAGAAAACCGTTGCCAGAAAGCTCTCCCCATGGCCCACAGCGCTTACCAATCCAACCTGCCCCACAACTACACCATGACGGTCCATAAGAACCAGCTGGCGCAGGCCTTGCGTGTGTACAGCCAGCACGCCCGCGGCCCGGCCTTTCATAAGTACGCCATGCAGCTCAACGAGGACTGCTACAAGTTCTGGAGCAACGGGCATCAGCTCTGCGAAGAGCGAAGTTTAACCGACCAGCACTGCGTGCACAAGTTCCATCTGCTCCCAAAAGCAGGTAAAGAAGCTCCCTTGTAATGGGGTTTCGTGGTTTGATTTCTGTTGTGCGGGTTTCCTTTATGTTGAGTAGTGTTTAGGAGCGAGTCTGTTACTGGTAACTTCGATTTCAGTAGTAACTGATCCCATCTTGCTAATTAGAAGCATTACACTGGAGTCCTTCTGACAACAGATATGTAAGAGAACAAAAGTTCTCTGGGAAGTATCAGTGCCTCCTCCCTTTTATTTTTTAGTAACTTGGTTGATGTCAATAAAGAAATAGAAACTGTCTGATAAACATCTGTTGCAGGCAGAAGAACTATTTGTGCCTTTTAGGAAGAGGTTGTGAAAACGAAGATTTAGTTTAGTGGTATAACCTACGCTGGAACTTTGTAATAAAAGTGGGAAAGGGAGTTGTTGCTTGACAAATTGGCTTTGCTAATGAATAATTTTACATAGGCATATAGTAAGGAGGAAGCAGTGGATCAAGAAAATTAAAGAATTTCTAGAAACAGTGAGTGATTTATCTAGTGTTTGATTGATTTGGCTTTTAGGGGAAAAGCCAGAAGCAGACAGAAATCCTCCAGTTCTGTACCACAACAGCCGGGCTCGTTCCACTGGTGCCTGTAACTGCGGAAGGAAACAAGCTCCTCGGGATGACCCTTTTGATATCAAAGCAGCTAATTACGACTTTTACCAGGTAACTGTTCGGTCTCTATTTTTGCTTCAAGCAGTGCTTTTGCTTCATTAACAAAGTCTATGTTCTGAAGTAACTACAAATAAGTTTCTTCCTAACCTTATCAACTTGTAAACCTTGCTTGGGCAAGATACTTCTGGGAGCAGAAATTGTTCGGACGGTGGGCTGACGAGAGTGGGCAGTTCCGGTCTTCACCAGTGCATGCGCTCGGGAGCATCTTGTTACACTTCAGGTGTGGTGTTGGTTCATGTGGATTTTAAATCCATCACATCTGTGGCCTGTATTCCCATCACTGCTTTGGTTCTCACGTAGCGCAAACCTCTTGAATCTTAATTGTAGCCGTGGAATGTTATGATTCTGAATTCCCTCATCTCAGAGGGAAGGTGGAAAATTAACCATGTTCTCTTTCTCCTAGCTGCTGGAAGAAAAATGCTGTGGGAAACTGGAGCACATCAACTTTCCCGTATTTCAGCCAAGCACACCTGATCCGGCACCAGCTCGGGATGAGTCTTCCCCTGCCCCTCCAGAAGGCGAGATTGAGAAACTTAAAGAAAAAGAACCTCAGACTCAGGGAGAAAGCACGGGCCTGAGCTTAGCCCTCAGCCTGGGTCAGTCGACAGGCAGCTTGGGCACTTACCCGCCTGATGCCCAGGGTGGAGGGGACAATGCAGAAAGTCACGGGCAGAGTGGGGATTCCAAAAGTGAGAAAAGGCCAAGCCTCGTCGATCGCCAGGCATCCACTGTCGAGTACCTCCCTGGGATGCTCCATTCGAATTGCCCCAAAGGTCTTCTGCCCAAATTCTCCAGTTGGTCACTGGTTAAGCTGGGGCCTGCTAAAGCTTATAACTTCCACACAGGCTTAGATCAACAAGGCTTTATCCCGGGAACGAACTATTTAATGCCTTGGGACATTGTCATCAGGACGAGAACTGAAGATGAAGGAGACCTAGATACCAATTCGTGGCCTGCACCTAACAAGGCTGTTCCTGGAAAAAGAAGTGCAGTTGTGATGGGAAGAGGAAGACGGAGAGATGACATAGCTCGAGCATTCGTAGGGTTCGAATATGAGGATGCCCGTGGTAGAAGGTTCATGTGTTCAGGGCCTGATAAAGTCATGAAAGTGATGGGAGGGGGGCCAAAGGAATCTGCCATCAAGGCCCTCAATTCCGACATGCCGCTGTACATCTTGTCGTCGACTCAGGGACGAGGGCTCAAGCCACATTACGCTCAGTTCATGAGGCTCTTTGTGGTGGTTCCTGATGCTCCGCTGCAGATCACGTTAACGCCTCAGGTAAGAAATGGAATGGAGAATCCGGTAACTGCAGAAACAGGTTTCCAACATTAACTGTGGGACCGGAAGGCACGAGGGTGGTGGGCGAAGGGTGTAAGAGGGATGCTACAAGAAACTCAGAGGAACTTCAGTCCAGTTCTCTGAGGCAGTAGTCGCCAAAAGTTTTATAAACAAACCATTATGGCTTTTTTTAAACTTCAAGATTGGCTTATGCCAGCTCTATACTTCGTATAAAGTAAGTTTTAAAAAATATTTTATGAAGGATGAATTACTAGCATTCCATACTGTAATAATTGTTTCTTTTAAAAGACAGATGAATGGTGACTGTAAGAAGGAATTTATCATTTTAAATGTCATGGAGAAGAGTGACTCATTGCTGAGATTATTATTAGTTACCCTTTGAATTTAGGAGGTGAAAAGGTGTTCGGTTTTGTTATTTGGAGAAATTTTTCCCTATTTCAAACATGTATTAAGAAAAAGAAGAGCTCCACTTACACTTTCTTATTTTTTAAGATAGTAAAATATGAACAAGTGTATCTTCCTTTAATTACTGCTATATGAAATATTGTGTGCATATAAGTGCTTATTATTCATTAGACTGTAGCTGCATTCCTAAGGGCTGCGTTTTCATTTGGAAAATAGGTTACACTGGGTGTTGTGGGTTCCACACATCAGTTCCTCATGTGAATAAGACGTTCTGAATCTTTTAATATGAATTATACAAGAGCCTTATTAAGTGTTGCTGAAACCCTTGAAAATTCACGTTGGATTAGGGTGAGGTAATAGCTCAGGGATATCTGTGCTACAGTGTCGAAATCTGCTGCTAATGCAACATTTACTACTGCCTGCGAAGCGATGGCTTGTGTTTGTGTTGTGCATCTCTTTGGTAGGGCCTAATCTGCAGCCTTAAATTCAGCATCTTCACTGTAATAAAATAGGAAATTTGTGGATGTCTCGCGATGACGGCACAGCGGTTTCCTGGAATGTGCTCAGGTGGAGATGAACCTGGCTGTGGGCAAGACTTGAGACCTCCTTGGATTCAGTTTGCTTTTAAGTTTGGTTTTTTTTCTAATTCTAATGATGTTTGATTATCTGCTCATATTTCCTTTTGCTTTCAGGTTCAGCCAGGGCCACCACCTTGTCCTGTATTTTACCCTGAGAAGCAGGAAATAACTCTTCCATCTGATGGACTCTGGGTGCTGAGATTTCCTTACGCATACGTGACAGAGCGTGGACCCTGCTTTCCTCCCAAAGAAAGCCAACAATTAATGAGTTACAAAGTTCTCCGAGGAATACTGAAAGCGATTACACAATAAGAATTATTCTGCTAGATTAATTTTGGTTTAAAAATACTGTCTTCAGTCCAAATAATGGATTTTGATTCGTGTCTGTTACCCAAAAGCTATCACTGCAATCTAATGAAGCTCACAGTATTTCACAGAGCACAGATTGAAAATAAGGTCTAATATCAAAGGAGAGAAAGGAATTCCGGAGACAAGTACATTTTCGGATTATTAAATTTTCATATGTGAAAAATAAAACTGGTTATCACAGTATACTGAGCCTGTATTACTAGATGTTTCAATGATAGTGCTCTTCCCCATCCTATGTTTCTACATACATATTTAGGAATATTAAAAATTAGCATTGCCTGAAATCAGGTTTCCTTTGTCATATCAAGGCAATGATGGGCAGAATCTTTTCTCTTTTTCTAAGCCAGCTGTATACAAACAGTACATGCTTTTCATATGGCGACGTGAGAAATTGTTCGTCTTTTGATCTTCTCTTGAAAAAAAAAATAAACAGCATTGCAGTCCTGATTTGTATTAACACCACAGCCAGCAGCTGGGCTTACCTGAATCAAGCTGAAGTATTTTAGTATATTTGCATATTTGTATTCATAGAGCATGTTTTGTTAAAAGGCCAATATAATTTCCTATTTTGGAATGACGTCTCTTTGGAAACTAAACCTGCTGGTCAATTTGTGGAAAATGTGGCACTGTATGAGCTCGTTCAGTAGAAGCATCTGTAGCTTAATTGTCTGTATAGCTTGACTTGTAGCGATTAAAGAGACTTTTGGTTGCTAAAAGGATGGGTTTAGCCCAGTTTGAATCTCAGACTGAGGGAGTTTGGGTAATTATACTGCCCAAAAGGTGGATTGCACCAAGGTAGCTTGAATCCCCTGAGCTTTGCACGTGGATGTGGGTGCCAAAAAATCAATCAACTTCTTTGTCCAGACGGGATGTATTGGTGATAGTGGCTGTATTCCGAGACCTAGTTTAATTTCTAGAATATTTTGATTTTTTTAATTAGCATGCATACCAAATGCAATTTGCCAATCTGCTATAATCATTACACCAGAGCTGAGACCTGGTTTCTGTTTGGCGTGAACCATCCCTTATCAGCCGGGCGGGGAAACGCTCCCTCTGGGCAGAGGCCAAGTTCCCTCAGCGCGGCCTCTCAGTTCAGACTCACCGAGCGCAGCCGGGAACGTGAAACGCGCCGCAGAGAGCGCTCGTCCCGGAGAGACGCGGCAGGGAAAGCGAAATGGCAAAATAAAGCGTCGAACTAGGAACAGCTCGCACCTGCGAACTGGTTTTGAAAAGGAGCTGCCGCGCCGGGAGGGCAGCGCGGGGGCGCAGGCCCGGCCGCTCTGAG